AAACTTCCGCCACCGCCTTGTGCGGTACTACTGGTAAGCTGAATGACATGCACGCTCCTGAGGCGTATCGCCATTGGCGTAACCATGTCAGGGACGAGGTCAAGTCATGTTCGGACAAACCCGACGAGGCATGGATCTGGCTCAATGAAGTCTTTGACAATAAGACCCCGCGGGAGAAGCTGGGCAATGTCGGGTGGTGGAACAAGCAGTTGCTGGAACTTGGGGTTGACCAGGCCGCTTTTGTTAGCGAGCCCGACCACATGCAAACGAAGATATTAATGGCAAGGTGGTGGAACATGTCACTGTCGATGGACATCCTTACGAATTGATTACAAACACAAGTTGGGAAATGGACGGCGCAGATGGGTTGCGATTCCCCCAAAGGATGTACGATCACCGCACCAAGGTGAATGCTGTGACGAGGGGACAGCCTGGACAGGACACATCTTGCTTCAATGACGAGATGTGGATGGACCTTGATGATTTCTTCAGGTCGCATGCTCCCAAAGAAGATCACTACTCCCACTGTCGAAGAGCCCATTGCCCTGTTGTACCACGACGACAAGTGCAGGTTTGAGTTTCAGTGCGTTGCCAGACATCAGATGGCAACCCGTAAAGGGTTAGCCTATTGGCCTTTCAAGATCCGTGCAGTGCAGGGGCACACAAAACGTGCCATTTCGACAGCCGCAGCCTCAGATACCTTCAATGCCACGCTGACCTATGCAAATTCTGGTGCAGCAGCGGCAAAGGTAGCGGCCACCGGGAAAACCATTGTCACCCCTGAAGACACCCCTGGTCTGGTTTATCATCGAACTACACGTGGAAACTGGAAGGGCATCTTGGACAACGGTTTCATTCCGGGAGGTGGAGAAAGAGTATCTTCCGGCCGAGCTCATAGCTATTTTAGCGAGGCTCGTGTCGATGAAAACAGCTACGTGTCCGGACTCGGAGCAGAACGTCCCGTGGAGATCAGGGTTGCAATGCAAGAAGCTGTCAGAAGCGCAGAGGTGTAGTTTTCATCAAGACGGCTTCAGCGGGGATTTTGACGACAGATGTTGTGCCAGCACAATTCGTTGTTTCTGTGGATGATACCGAGAAAAAGGTCAATCTTTACAGAAGGCACCAGGAGACTCTTCAATCAGCGATTGGAAGTGGTGCAAGTGCCGGGGTTCAACAACAGGTGAAGGCATATGAAGCAAAATTTTCCGGCTGATCTGAACCAAGTTCCTCGGCTGCCTTAACTGGCATGCCCGCTGAGCAGAAGTTTCCGGGAAAAGTCAAACCCGGTGCACCAGCCTTGACCAAGATGCCAGGATATACAAGCAGTCGATTGTTGCCGCTTCCTCCAGAAGGTCAAGCTCCAAAGCCGCCAGCACCTGACGTCCCCAAAGCAGTTTTAAAGCCTGTCAAACCATCTGCAGAAGAGCAACCAGCCCAAAAGAAGGCCGCCGTAACAAGCGAGCCCAAACCAGTGCCAGTTGCCTCATCAGCAGCAGTTTTCTTGGAGCCGGTCTCAAAAGTGCCTCCTGCCAAAGCAGCTCAGGCGGGACCTGCAAGTCCACCTTCGAGTGCATCCTTGCCCAAGTCAACAGCAAAATCAAAATCTTTGGTGACGAAGTCTCGCCCTAAAGGCGATGACCAGGTGCAGAAGCCGGAGCCTGTGAAGATCGAGGCCAGTGAATGCAAAAGATGCTGCGCCAAGACCTTCAAGGGGCAACTCGAATACGATGTATGCGGCTTGATGTTGGAAGGGATCCCCAAAGCTGAAAGGACTGCCACTGTAGAGCCTCGCAAGGCAGCATTGCACAAGCTTGGACTCTACTATGACTTCAAAGGGGAGTACCTTCAAAGCATCGCACGCAACCAGCTGGAAACTCTTGGTTTGCTGGGTGATCAAGCCCGGGGAAGCACAAGCCCCGCGGCCGATCTGATCAAGCGTGCAAAGGGCAGCCTTCAACATGGGGTATTCACCTGTCTTGGACATTTACAAAGGACGCCACATTTGCGGAAAGTTTGCTTGCTGAAGGCGAGAACGAATACGATTGTGAGCGTTACGACCTCTGCCGCGCAGCACTTCTACCGAAGCCTGATCGCACGAGAGCTCAAGTTAAGCTGGGTATCTCGGAGGCATCACAGGTAGAACACAACGCTATGAGGCTGGTTTACCTGGACATTGGAAACAAGACGGATCTGCCCGATCGATTCCGGTACATCGATCAGCCATGGCTGTACATGTTCCGCACCGAGATCTATTCGGAAGAGGAGTACATTGAGTACCTCGAGCGGAATCCTCAGCACAATCTGTTGATGTCAAATACCGGAGTTGACAAAGTGGCAGTTCACGAAGGGCAAATGGTCTTGAGAAGAAGCAGCTGTCGGAACGTGCAAAAGAGAAGAATGAAGCCAAAAGAAAGGCTGAGCAGACTGCAGCTTACGGCCAGGGTCCTGCAAAGAAAGGCACTGCTAACCCAGTTGCCGGAACATCACCCAAAGTAGAAGCAGCCTCATCATCTACGTCCGCAAGTGCATGGCTCGACCACCCTCAGTCTTCCCGACAGGATCGACATTACACTGGTCAATGGAAGAAGTGGCACGGTCTCGGTACCAAAAGGTCATCAGACATGGACGTGCCGAATGTGAAGAGGGATATACTGTACTCGACATGCCTTGCGTCAACGATTGGTTTTTGTACAAAGCCGCATTTCTTTTGTGTGTTTTCCTCAGGCTGCAATTGGGCCATGTCGGCAAGGCAGACCGTAATGGTCTCGCCCTGGTAAGTGGGCAGTCGTGCCGTTCCGGCTCACCTGAGGGGGGTGCGCAGGTAAAACACCATGTGTGATAGCATGCTACTATAGCTGTTGCGGCTCAGAAAAAGGAGTTGAGCTGCAGGTGCTTAACGGTGTAGATTTTACCCCTTCAGGTTTATCAGTCCATTTAGGGGATAATATTTCCCCAGCTGAAACCTGAAAATACAGAAAGTAGATAGATGTGCCGTCCCATGCGCATCCACGCACTGCAGTGATACATAGCTTCCTTCGAAATTCAGCTATGAGTCGTGTCATACTATGTCATACAATGCCACGTTTGTATATATATATAAGGCTTTTATAAGACTTGTTTTTGAAGTCTTAGGGCAGCACAAAAATGAGCTCCACAATGGCAGTTAGGGAGGTATGGCTGCACTGCTGTCAGTTCTGCTCCACATGTAGCACAAACGCTGTCCCATCAGCCCCGCTTTGATACGTGACTTTCCTTTGAAGCTTTCAGACCAATATACATTTACACCTACATATACACAAACATATACATATATTATCATATCTTTATTTTTTTATATTTAATAAAAAATATGAAGTAATATATATATATATAAATATAACTGTAATATATATATATATATGTAATATATATATTACATATATATATATATGTAATATATATATATATAGATATGTAATATATATATATAGATATGTAATATATATATATATATACATACATATCATATGCATGTATCACATACACACACATACATATATATTTACACACGTGTAAATGTATATTTATATTTATATATTTATATATGTATATATGTATATATGTATATTTGTATATATGTATATTTGTATATTTGTATATATGCATATATGCATATGCATATATGTATATGTGTATATATGTATACATGTATATATGTATATATGTATATATGTATATATGTATATATGTATATATGTATACATGTATATATGTATACATGTATATATGTATATATGTATATATGTATATATGTATATATGTATATATGTATATATGTATATATATTTATATATATGTATATATCTGTAAATGTATAATTTTTATTACATTTAATATGTCTGATAATAATGTATATATGCCATAGACAGTATTTGTATACCAGAAGGGTCTAGGAAACTGCTGGGAACACCCACGCACAAGACCCGGGCTAGGTAGGTGGCGCAAGCAGTTTGTAGCTCCGGCTGATTCAAATCACATGTTCACTCCAGGTTTGCGCTCGTTCACCTCTGACTCACCATACGTTCAGTTGTGGGCGTGACTTCGCAGGCTCCGGCTCTCAAGTCTTCACGACCACCCTCTATGAGCAGATGAAAGCGAAGGCATTGCAACTCCAAAATCAACAGATTGCATGCCGCCTGCATTATTTACGTTACATTTGCATACATGCTGTCTTGCTATATCTTGCTATCAGGCTATATTTCTCAAAGGGGTCAAGTGGGATTTCTGTCCAAGTATTTGGGTACATCGTTTCTTCAGACAGAATCCAGGGCTGGGGATAGGGCAGAAAACCGGCAAAACTGTTGTGGATTGAAAACTTCGAGCCGCACCAAGCCGCCCGGAGTGGGCAACTTTGGGATGTCCAAGCCACTGGCCGAGACTGGTAGAGCTCCCGGAAAAGAAAAATCAATTCTTCAAGCAGACAGATAACGGGTGATATAGTAAGGTCCGGGGTTCGCTCCCGACACATGTAGTAACCCCCAAAAGATAAACAAGTATATAAATTATCACTCTTTCAGTAGGATTTCAAGATTGTATCCTTTTGTGTGTTGCTACACTGCTACACTATGTACCATGATGTATCATGTTTTAGGATGTATCACGATGAGCACGCTTTAATTGCACAAGACGACGTTAGCACTTGATTGCCGTTGATGGATTGGATTTACCTGCCCGATCAACCTTTATATGTCGAGGTTGCTTGAGGTGTCCCGGGTGTATGAAAGTATCGTTTGCTTGTTGACTTGATTGAGACAACACACACACACAAAAGGGCTCACACTGTGGGTCAAACTGACTTGCCATTTCATAGCAAGGACAGTTCCAGTGTGTGTGTGTGTGCTCTGAGGAGATTTGTAAACCGTGACTAGGCATTCGGCAATATTACAATCCTGGTGGCCAAGCCGTCTAGTTGCCGATCATTTTCATGTCAATGTCCTTTGCTTGGTGCTATCCATGCATGGCGAATATTATCAAGTTGCTGGTACACTTGGCCTCTAAGTAAGCCAGCCAAGGAATACACACTGAAGTGCAAGCCAGAACACCAGCAAGGAGTGCCTAAGAAGTAGGGAGAGAGCTAGTCTGTCTTGCTGACTGTTCAGGTGAACACTGCTAGTCTGCTAGTCACATGCAGTTTCAAAAATGTTTCAATTTCATCAACATGCAGGGGGGGAATCTCATGTTTGCAGCTGATTGCCCAACGAAGAGGGCTGCATTCATGGATGATATGACTATGGGACGCTGGAGTCACGCACCTGCAATTTCAAATCTTTTTGCTGCCATGGCGTGGGGCTAAGCCTAGAACCCCTGTGTTAATTGTTGTTGGTTGATCAGAAATTTCGCCCAGGATGCTTTCCCAGGTTTTGAGACCTCAAGGCGTCTATTACCATTTGGTTGCAAAGTGCCAGTACTTTTCTCATACAGTGTGCGCGTGCGTGCTTGGCTTGTATGTGTGGCTCAGCGCGTGTTTTGCGTCAGTTTCGGTCAATTGCAGTGGAATAAGCCTTGTGTAAGCAGGTTTGCCAAGACAGTTTGTACAGGGAGATGCGCGCAATGGCAAGAAGAAACCAACTCAGATTGCAAGGAGCATGTGATGAGTTTCTTTGCCAAGACTCCAACCAAAATCGCCGCAGGGCCTTTTCAAGAACCACTTCCCAAACATACCTCCAGCGGGAAAGTCGATCAATGTGCCATTGAATGCGGGTGCCTCAATTTGGGGTTGCGAAATGCGGGATTTTGCAACTTGAAGTTGGCGTGTTCTGGACTTCCACAATCCCGGGCATGGGAGGCATTTGTTGTAGCAAAACCAAAGTTTCAATTCGCCCAATGTATATATAATCCTCTCTGAACCAATAGGCAGCAATCACGATGTTCCTTTGAAAGTGTAACAAGTATTCAAACTTACGAACCACGCAATTTTTTACAATGTCGTGGGCTGATGTCTTGTCCGTTTTCCCTCCGAAAGGTTCGCAAGGGCCTATCATAGGGTTTGTTTCAAGAAATTCTGACATGAGAAAACCTGGTTCATGTAAGCGTCCAGGGCCCCATGCATATTTATTATCCTTCATTTCTTTCCGAAATAATCCGGACTGCGAATGGGAAAAAAATGGGGAAGAACATAAAGGGCTGTGGCATTCACTCAGTTTTTGAGATCTGAAAACCCCCCGGCACGATCTAGATGAAACACAGCGTTTCAATCTTACCGTTCTGCAAGGATTCTGCGCAGCAAGATCTCACGCCAGAGATTTCTTTCCCATTGCCAGCTACACCGGTGCTGGGCACAAGGGAACGGGGTGGTTGAACCGGCAGTGAAGCGCGGTGCATAGGCGTTCAGATTCGTTTTTCCGCATATTCTGTGTCGTTTTATCGTTTCATTTGAACGAGCGAGTGCTTCGCTTTACACTCCATTTGCTCTTGTGCTTTTGGTGCCGAGGTGAACGAGAGGAAGTTTCGGAGGAGTGGGCGAATAAAGGATTTACAAAACTCTGAGACGCATTGAAGATCGTCAACGTCCGTCAACGTTTGTCAACATTTGTCAACATTGAGACTCCTAGCTACCGACAACTACTGACTCAGTCCTCCGTGACTCCTTGGTGGACAGGCTCAGATTTTTGCAAGAAAATGTGGCGACTGCCAAGAGATTAACCATATGTTTTCATCGTGGTCCAGTAGAAAGCATTACAAGATATTACAAGATATTACAAGATATTACAAGATATAACAAGATATTACAAGATATTACAAGATATTACAAGATATGACAAGATATTACAAGATATTACAAGATATTACAAGATATTACAAGATATTACAAGTATATGAGTTATTTTATGAATTTTGTCAAGTTTTTTTGCTGGCGCTCGAACAAGTTGACTCTGAACCGATGAACAGTCAACATTCTTCCTGTTTGAAGTTCGTTTGCACATACTTTCGCTTCCAACAGCGCTGGTTAATGGGAGATGGTGCAAAACAAAGATGATGCAGATTTGCAGGATCTCTCATGGTCCTGGGGAGATTTGTGCAGCGCCCTCGGAGATGCTTCAGAGTTTGCTCATCAGGATGCTAAGCTTAGACTTGGCACTAGTGAAGCAACTAAACCTACTGGTATATAGTTCACATGAAAATGCTGTGACAGTCTCGAGTTATTCGCGTTTCAGTGGGGTCTGTCCGGAGCCCTGTCTATAATTCCTTCTCGTTTGCTGCGAATTTGGTACTGGTATTGCTGGTCTTAGCCTTGCCTTGCCTTCAAGGCTTCTTCGCCGTTGGAAGTATCAGTGGGTTCTGTTCAACAGTTTAACATCATTTTGAGTTTGTCGTGCAATTTCCTCAAGAAAAATCTTTGCAAGGTTCACCATGGTCTCAAGGATCAGCTGCTTCCTGCAGAGGATACAACCCGGAATGTTGCGATTTTGCAGACTGTTGCCCACTCTCAGCAAGCTGTCCAAGAAGAATTTCATTCACTCCGTTTGCCCAATTCACCACGAGGACTTTCGGTATGGTATTCGCGGTCAAAAGGGCGCCAGCACAGAGGATACCATGAAGGTGCTCTTGTTGGCCACTTCCGTGCTGGGTGCTCTCAGACTTCAGAATTTTCAAACGAGTTGCGAGTCTCAACGATGGCCTTTCATGATGCTCCTGAACTGATACATCTCAAGGGCTGACTGGAAGCAAAATATGGTAAAATCACAGAATGGCTTAATTAGCTATCTCAGTATTCTTCTTGTTTCTATCAGTGGAAGTCTGTGAGATTGCGCAATACACTCGACTCAAGTTTGACAGGGATGCGTGTACCAAATTTCCTGGGCCTGTTTAGCTTTGGGTGTCCACAACTCCTTCTGTAGGTGTACCCGTTTGTCAGTCCCTCACTGTCTCCTTTCATTGGTTTCTCAAATCTGTTCTGCTTTTGTCTTCCAGGTTCAGTTGTGGTGTATGGGTCCCTGGCTGTCTATCTTACCCTAAAGTAATTTACGCTGGAGGTTTTGGTTCTTGATTCTTCCCAATATGTTTGTGAGTGTTTGTCCTTGTTTGGTGCTGGCTCTGCCTTGATGAGTCTCCCAATTCAGGCTGTGCGTTCATGTACTGTATTTTCCGTTCATGTATTTTCCGAAGTTCCTTCATTCCCCCAAGAGTTTGCACTTGACGTTTCCAATTCTCTGTTAAGACATGCCGTTTTGTGCCATCCTGCTATCGTTTTCGCATCTTTCTCCCAGTGCCGGGGTGCATGTGTAGCTTTTCGGTTTGTTCCGATTCCTACGGAGCCAGGTCGTCCCTACTGCCCCTATTTTCTCCCCTGAACAACAAAACACGAGAGGGTCATGGTATCTTCCTATGGTGCGGGAAGGGGCCTTCTCATGGTCTCAAACCGTGAGAGGGCCTGTTTCTTTTTTTCGTGAAGGTCCCCAGCTGAAGATTTGACACAGATCAGAAAAATAGGGAATTACAGGACACTTCTGAAACCGGGGGGCAAGGGAAAAAGTTGTTCTCCCAGTCTCTCATGGTTTTGTAAAATTTGAGGCGATTCAAGTTTTGAACGCAAGTGAGTTTACGAGCAAAGAGTTGTGTTGATCAGCAGATCATCTATTTTTCCTCAAAATAATACTATACATTTGCATAATGTGCATATATATATATATACACAGTGATTAATGCGCATGCTTTCCGCAAACTTCGACTTCAAGTTCCCATATATGTACATACATACCAGTAGTACCGCACAAGGCGGTGGCGGAAGTTTCAAAGATAGGAAACCTATAGGAGAGGTTGGTTATTGTGAAGCACGGATGGCAGAGTGAATCCACAGATGGACCGAAAGCGGTTGGAGTTGTGTTTTTTGGGGTGGTTGCAATGGTTGCAGTGGTCACGTCACCGCAACTGCTGGATGTAGAGTGGTGTGGTGCAGTTGTAGTTGTAGCTTTGGCTTAGTGCAGTGGAGTTTTAGTGGTAGTGTAAATGTAGTGTAATTAGTGTAATTGCAGTTGCAGTTGTCGAAGGAAGTTTAGAAGTCAAACTTCCGACAATATGGACAGATGAAAAGCAGAGCAGGGCAGAGGCAGAGAGAAGAGAAAGATTAGAAGAGAGAAGATCAGAGAAGAGCAAGAGTCAGAAGAAAGAAGATGCAGATGCGCGAAAAGGTGGGAAAGTCGCGAAACACTGTGTTTTTCCAATGGTTTGAGGCCCCGGGGGGTCGAAAAGTCAGCTCGCTAAAGCGGCGGGTGCGGCGCCAGCTGGCCAGATGAGAGATGAAAAAGTGCACGCCGTTGTGGCGCGAAGCACATTTCGAAGTCAAAATGTACAAGACAGCCTTAGCGTTGGACCACTTTTGGAAGTTGCGATGTCAAAAAAGTGCACGCCGCTGCGGCGCGAAGCACATTTCGAAGTCAAAATGTACAAAACACACCATGCCCGGACCACTTTTGGAAGTTGTGATGTCGAAAAAGTGCACGCCGTTGTGGCGCGAAGCACATTTCGAAGTCAAAATGTACAAAACACACCATTGTCGGACCACTTTTGGAAGTTGAGATGTCGAAAAAGTGCACGCCCTTGTGGCGCGAAGCACATTTCGAAGTGAACATGTACAAAACACTACATGTTCGCGCCACTTTTGTTTTGCGTGGCAGGCGCAAAGGATTGTGCACCTTGTCAAAAGTGAGCAAAACGTGAGGGTTTTGCAGCATTTCCAGACATGATGGCAGGCGTGGGGCATTTGAAGAGGATCTTCAAAGATGGATTTCGCGCGGCAGGTGCAGTACAAAAGACATGTTCATCAGAGATGTTCGGAGGTCAGGGCGCTCATTTCCTGACAGGGGTTGCATTTTGGAGCATCAGATCTTCAGGTTTGCTGAGATGATTTTGCGTGACAGGTGCAGCCCTTCGTATGACCTGGCATCAATTTTTCGTGGCAGGCGCAGTACTTTACACAGGTGGAGTGGAAAAATCGCAAAACTTATTGGTACGAGGCTCCCCCAGCGCTGCACTCAACTTTCCATTTTTGAAGGAAGTCTCGCAGAATTGCTTTGTTTTTGACGTTGTTAAGTTCAAACATTGAGGAAGTCTCGCAGAATTGCTGCGGTTTTGGACGTTGTTTGGTTGAAAATACAAGAAGTGTCGCAGAATTGTTTTGTTTTTGATGTTGTTTAGTTCGAACAATGAGGAAGTCTCGCAGAAGAGCTTCGTTTTCAATCTGGCAGATAGACAGATAGATAGACAGACAGACAGACAGAGATAGATAGATAGATAGATAGATAAATAGATAGATAGATAGTTACATAGACAGATAGATAGATAGATAGATGGATAGACATATAGATAGATAGACTGATAGATGGACAGATAGACAGATAGATAGATGGACGGATAGACAGATAGACAGATAGATGGACAGATAGACAGACAGACAGACAAATAGATAGAGAGAGAGAGAGAGCTAGATAAATAGATAGATAGATAGATAGACAGACAGACAGACAGATACATAGGTTTATAGACAGATAGTTAGATACCAAGATAGATAGAAAAATAGATCGATAGAAACATAGGCAGATATATAGATAGACAGATAGACAGATAGACAGATAGATAGAGAGACAGTTTTATCATATCGATAGATAGTTGGAGAGATAGATAGAAAGATAGAGAGATAGTTGGACAGATAGATAGATAGATAGATAGAGAGAGAGAGATAGATAGATAGATAGGTAGACAGACAGACACTTAGGTAGACAGATAGATACATAGACACATAGAGAGATAGTGAGATACCAAGATAGATAGATAAATAGATAGATAGATACATGGACAGATAGATAGATAGATAGACAGATAGACAGAGAGACGGTTTGATCGATAGATAGTCGGAGAGATAGATAGATATAGATAGATGGCTAGACAGACAGACAGACAGACAGACAGACGGATAGATAGATAGATAGATGGACACATAGACAGATAGTTAGATACCAAGATATTTAGATAAATAGATAGATAGGTACATAGATAGATAGACAGAGAGATAGAGAGACAAATAGCTAGAAAACTAGACAGCTAGATAGATAGGTAGGTAGATAGATAGGTAGGGAGATAGATAGACAGACAGGCAGACAGATAGATAGATAGATAAACAGATAGATCAGTCGGTAGGTATGTAGATAATCAGAAAAAGACGGACGAACAAGGCACAGAATCGCACCGAAGAACTGCCTAACGTTCCTTCTGAAACTTACTAAAACTAACTGAGAAACATGAGAGAACTCATGAGAGATACTAGACGGCTGCTGCCGCTGCCGCTGCTACTGCTGCTGCTGCTGCTGACAGAAGAGTACCAAAAGCACCTCCCGGCAGCAAGACAGCAAGGCACGGAAGGACGAACAAGCCACAGAATCACACCGAAAAACTGCCTAATGTCCCTCCTGAAACCCTAGTAGAACTGAGATGAGAGACATGAGAGAACTCATGAGAGATACTCGACGGCTGCTGTTGTTGCTGCTGCTGCTGACAGAAGAGTACCAAAAGCACCTCCTGGCAGCAAAACAGCATGGCATGGAAGGACGAACACGCCACAGAATCGCACCGAAAAATTGCCTAACGTCCCTTCTGAAGCGCTACTAGAACTGAGAGACGAGAGAACTCATGAGAGATACTAGACGGCTGCTGCCGCTGCCGCTGCTACTGCTGCTGCTGACAGAAGAGTACCAAAAGCACCTCCCGGCAGCAAAACAGCAAGGCACGGAAGGACGAACAAGCCACAGAATCACACCGAAAAACTGCCTAATGTCCCTCCTGAAACCCTAGTAGAACTGAGATGAGAGACATGAGAGAACTCATGAGAGATACTCGACGGCTGCTGTTGTTGCTGCTGCTGCTGACAGAAGAGTACCAAAAGCACCTCCTGGCAGCAAAACAGCATGGCATGGAAGGACGAACACGCCACAGAATCGCACCGAAAAACTGCCTAACGTCTCTTCTGAAACCCTACTAGAGCGACATGAGAGACCTCATGAGACATACTAGACGATGGCTACCGTTGCTGCTGCTGCTGCTGCTGACAAAAGAGTACCAAAAGCACCTCCCGGCAGCAAAACAGCAAGGCACGGAAGGACGAACAAGCCACAGAATCGCACCGAAAAACTGCCTAATGTCCCGTCTGAAACCCTAGTAGAACTGAGATGAGAGACATGAGAGAACTCATGAGAGATACTCGACGGCTGCTGTTGTTGCTGCTGCGACGACGAAACTTTGCACTTGACACTGGCCAAAAGACAGTGCCAACCATCCAATCATGCACCCGTTTGGTCATTGATTCTACTCATAGCGGATCGAAATCTTTCACAAAGTTCCAAATCGCCAACGTTGCGCGGCCAGAGGAAGCGCCTAAGCATGATGTCATCTGGCGGGGCAACATCCACACAGCAGCTCCAGATGTGATCCCAATGAGGATCCTCAAGGTGACAAACAGGGCAACATGACTGCACAGAATGCCATTGACTTCACCTTTGCAGACATGGGCGCGCCAATCGCAAAGGAAAAAGTGGAGCCATCTTTTGAAGCCAGTTTCCTAATCAAGTTGATCCGTTCAACCGAAGGGTAGTAAGCGATCTTCTTGCGCGTCAGCCAATGAGAGTTGGCAGTTTGGTCATAGCGCATGCTATGCTTCCAGCGGTCAATGGCTTGGTGGAAATTGTTCTGCTCGTACTTTTTGATCTGATTTTCCAAAGATTTGATTTCCTCATCCAGCTGCAAAACACTGGGAACTCCTCTCATTTTCAGTTTGTTGAGCATCCTACGCGTCTTTTCATCAATCCTACCAACACTCAAGAAGCCTTCCCAATCTGTTCCTTGACTTTCTGATGGCCATGGGAATCCTGCGAGAAACCGCATGAAATTGTCGCTCCTGGCGACAAGGCTCCTCACTCCTAGTTGACATCCATTTATTTGCCAAATGCTCCACCCTCCTGATCTCAATCAAATTGTCATAACCTTCCGGGATCTCCAAAAGCGCAAAGAAGAATGTGTGCTTCATCACCCAAAGAAGCTTCAAAGTCACCAGCTCCCAAGCATAGTCCACCATGAATTGATCTTGCGGAGTGAATCCATCAGGTGACAGCTTGTCCTTTTCCATCCTAGCGCATGCTTCCTGCCAACCAGTGATCTCGCCAGTGTTGAAAGCTTCTTCAAAAAGTTTCTTCCATCTCTCAGGGTCGACCCAAAGCGGTCTCAAAAACGGCATCTGCTTCTTGAAATTTTGTTCCTCCTCCATCATACATTCATATCCAAACGCCAGGGAAATGATTTTGTGGTCAGAAATTTTGTGAGAAAGAGCACCAGCCAACGCATCTGCATGGTCGATCGCATTCGTGAGGAAAAAATCGATCAACCTTCTTCCATCCCAGCGAGAGCAGTCAACTTCGCCATTGGGAACAGGCCACAAACCGTGACTCCCAGCAGCCGCAGCAATCCAGCTATCTTCAAATTCTTCATTCCAATCACCACACCACAACATCTTTCCACTCCAAGCAATACCACCAACCCATTCCTGCAGCGTGGCCGCGAACTCAGCGGCATGTTCCTCACCTGGCCAGACGTAAGCATTAACCAAAAGGGTGTTGTGGACTTTCACAGCAACAGCACATCCGTGACAAGTTGAGACCTCAGCAATCATCTGTCCTCCCGTTAGAGTGGAAACTAATGTGATATTGCCCTTCTTGCTTTCGCCTTCTCGAACTTGCCCATTCGCGAAAACGTGGCACCCAAGAAAATTGAGGCGCTTGAGCACAATTTTCCAGCGAGGCACGTCGCATGAAACTTCTTGAACACATACTGCGAGAGGCCTGTCAGCCCTTTTGAGATCTTCCAAAGTTTCAATGAGCCTCCAGAGCCCAGCCAAGCCCCCGGAGTTGAAGGTCCATGTTTCCTTGCCTTGACAATCCACAGCCCCACCTCTGAGCCAAGGCAACTCAGAGATGGGTTCATCCGTTCAATGCTTGCCCTCATGCTTCTGTGCCTTTCTGTAGGCACTGACCTCCTTGATGACCTCAGCCGCCTTCTGCTGGTCAATCTCAGTAATCTGTCTCATCTTCTTATCGCCATTGATGCGCCCATAGATATGCCACCAATATGTGCTCGGCCGCGTGCCCTTGTTCTTGAACTGTGTAGCACGGTCGCCACAGGTCCTTTTCCAGGCAACATGTCTGGACGTGAAGTGGCACTTTTTGCACCAAAGGAGATGCTGCAGCCTATTGTCACTTTCACAAGGAGTCTTGCACTTCAAAGCCACAGGATCATGTTTCAACAAAGCTGCTTTGCAAAGAGCTTTCGCTTTCAAAGTTTCAACTCTCTTTGCCCTGAACACTCTGTAGCTTTTACGTTCCATGTTCCATCCATCTTTCCGGAGCTCTTTCAATTGAATCTGCTTCTTTCGTTTCTTGGCACATTGCTTCAGGTGATGTTTCTTTGTCTTCTTTGCCAGGTGTCGGTTACCTGGCATTTGCAAAACCCCCATTTTGCAATAAGGGCAAATGTAATCCGCGTGCTTTCTTTCCACGGCAGTCAACTTGCAAAACAGCGCTGGTTTCTGAAGCGTTCGCAGCCCCAGCCCGCAACTGGAGGTGGTGGTGCGGCCCTCCTCTCGGGCTTTCTGTGCCGCTTGCTGCTTCAACTTTGAATGAAACTGCATGAGATGTTTTCCAACTTCGGATCCAAAAGTCTTGAAAGTAGAGATCGAATGCGCACAAAACGGGCACTTCCATGTTCTTTTGGTCTTTTCCTTTGTGCAAGAGGCCAACAACTCACTGATCTCCTCATCAGTTTGGCAAGGAGTGCAAGCGCGGAGTTGTAGAAACCGGCGAGCAAGTCTTCAAAAGGTTCAAATCATCAATTTTCCCCGAGCTCACCGAAGAGCAGGTTCTCAGCAAATGCTCCAAGTTTTCCAAGTCAGCCTTTTTGGGCGTGCAACAATCCGCAGAGCCAGCGCCGCGGAAAACTTTTGGCTGAATCTTGTAGAACTTTTCGATGATTTCAGCTTGAAGTCCACGACTGTGCCAAATTTCATTCTTGCCACCTGTGAGCCAGTCTTTAGTGGGAGACTCGCCTTTGTCTCGCACCAGTGCCATGTAGAGCCCCCTGGAAAGAACTACTCCAAGGATGGGTGCTTTTGGGCAGTGCTCTTTGGGGCTGACCACTGCAACTTTGACCCACCCATGCTTTTCCAAAGTCCAAATGACAATGTGCACCTGCTTGACTGATGCCAAAGCTTGCCATCCGAGGTGACAAATCCACCGCAAAGGCCTTTTCAAAACAGTGCGAAATTCCTCCACGGTTTTGGCAGGAACTCCAGCTTCAGTAGTGCTAGTCCAAGCATTGTCTGGACACCAAAAACTTTCCCAGCTGCGGTCTGTGTTCAGCAAATGGTGCAAGCATTGTGCGCGAAGTGCGCTAGCTAACTGCGAGATCTTCTCTTTGATAGTCTGGCGATCCCCTTTCCGCTTGGAGTTTGCCATGCAAAGCAAAAAAGCAGCACAGCGCCATCCGCAATCTCCTTGTCCACCCAGGTCTTGAACCAACGTACCAGCTGGCCCCTGCATGCCACCCAAAATGCGGGTGTCTGTCATCTTGGGTCGCTGCTTGTCAGGTGAGGAGATAATCTCTCCTTTCTTTCCTTCCACCTCCATTCCTGACTCCTGTGACGTCTGTGAGTCAGGAACTGTTTCTGCAATCTCCGCACTGAAGGGCACTGTAGGTGCAACCTGATAATCTTTGTTTTGATCAAACCATCTCTGTCCAAATGCGCTCGGCCGTCTCATTGGGTTTCTTACCAGCTTTCCAAGGAACGATACTGATATGCCTTTCCTTACCGTCCATGTCCACCTTGAAAAACATGGTCAATTCTTTGCAAACTCCAAAAATTCTCCAAGGAGCTCCTCTGTTCCTGGGCTCTGTGGGCTTATAGTCCAGCGTCCATCCTTGTTCTTGGAGCCACAGGCTCAAACACTCAGGCCCCACATGTCCAGGGACTCCCCAAACTGCAAAGGAGCGGCGCTTGTCCTCCTCTGGCTTCTGAATGCCAAGGTCATTTCTTCCTCCCCTCCTCCAGCACATCGCAACATTCTCCTTCTTTGCAAGCTCCTGAACTCTGTGCAGATAAACCAAATTGTCCTCGGCTTCCTTCTTTTCAATCCACGTGACTTCTGGCTTCTCTTTCAAGTCTTGCGCAAGTCTCGAAAAGAAAATGCCCTTCTGTCCACTTTTGCCGATGACATCTTCCACTTTGCCCTTCTGAATAGTAGCGTAGCCAGTGATGGTGCCGCAAATGGATTCCCATTTGTTGGTTCTGCATTCACTAATGTCCAATCCTGCCAGCTTCAGTGAGAAATCTGGCGTCTTGTACAAGACATCATGGCAAGATTTTTCAACATAATGAAGGACAGCGATGACCCGAACCACCACCTCATCCTCAACCTTTCTGCCAGTCAAAGTGACTTCCTTCAACGTTTGTTCTTTCCAATTTGCCTTTTCCCCATTCAGAGTGCAAACATAGGCCTTCGCCATCGCAATGTTTCCCAAATACGGCATCATGGTGGTTTGGGCCGCCATAGGAGTGCAATCCTCATCGTACTTTGCCACCAGGATCATTTGGCGCTGAATGCCAATTGTGGCAGCCATCCCCTGCAACTCAAGGACATGGTTCGCCGATTTGCAGATTGCAACCCCAGGTTCTTCAGCTTTTTCAAGTGCAGCTTGAACAGATTGCCAGCTGACGATCTCAGCGCGAGGGAACTCCCTCGAAAGATCATAGCGTGGCAAGTCCGAAGACTTAGACTTTCCTTTGCCTTTGCCTTTCTTTTGCTCCTCTTTCTCCCTCATCTTTGATTCATTCCATTGATAAAAGGTCTGTGGTTGCTCAGCAGGTTGGAAAAACAAACCCTCAAGCTCCTCCAACAACTTGCGCAAGTTTGCCTTGTGCACAGCCTCCATGTTGGCTTCGGTGACTGCATCTTTGATTTTTTCAAAAAGCTCCTTTGTTTCTCTTCTTTTCCTAGTTGAGTTTGAGCCACCTGCACCACCACGCAAATCAGGAACCGCCAGTGGAACACAAGGGCCAACGAGACCCATCTGGCCATCGATTTGCAATTCCTCACGAAGCCACTTAGGATTCTTCTCCTCACTTGTCCTAGAGCCTTCCCAATCTCCCAAAGACAAGTAAGCCATAAAATCCTCCATGACCGCATTCTGCTCAACCTCAAACCAATCACAAAAATCATCTCTCTTGCAGCACATATCCGCATTGACAACCATGGACTCAGGCGTTGCCAATGGAGGGAAGAAAGAACTACCAACCTCAATACTATAATCCTCAGGACAACCTCCACGTAGATTCGACAAAGTTTGCTCTATGCCCATCTCAGCATCTCGAGAGTTCGAAGGTTCATCAGTGATTTCAATCACTGGTCTTTTGTGCATCTGTTCAGTTGCC